ATTAAAGCTTTTGTATAATATCAGGCCGTGTCATGAAACAACCAAATGACTTCTAGGGGTGACGTTTTGCTTTACAGCACGAAAAAGGAAAATTTAGCAAAGTTGTCTTAACCAAAAATGGATCTGATTTCTGTTTTTTTTTTTTTTCCTTTGGTCTGAGATGCTGACTTTGAAAAAAAAAAAACTAAAACTGTAGCACATAAAAGAGAAATGAAAAGAGAAAAGTTCCTAAATGTCTTAATCTTAGACTGTTCTCTCTAAAACACAAAAGTTTTCAAAGAAGTTACAATAAATATTTATACTATAAACAGGTTTTAAGTAGAAAAGGACACATTGAAGAGCAATAGGATGAAAGAGGAGGAAGGACACAAAGAAGGAAGAAGGAGGAAAGAAGGAAAGGACACAAGCCAGGACATGAGGAAGGAAAGTAGGATAAAACAAAAGCACAAATTTATACGATGGAATTTCTCATTAATGAGGAAAAAATCTGGAAATAAAAATGTTTTTGATGAAACGTTTCAGTGAACTTTTCTCTTAATTATTTGAGAAAAACATGCTGCTTTGTGAATGTTTTCAGTTTCTAAAGTATTTTTAAAAAATGCAACTTGACAACCAGCCAATCCCGAAGCAGCATTCATTTTCATTGCTGCTGATTGGCGGAACCCCCAATCAGCCAATCAGTTCGCAGATGAGGACAGCTGAAGCTGTTAGCTTGAGCGTTAGCGCCAGAACGGTTTCCACTGTGTTAGAGTATATTTGGGGTTTGAACAATTGAAATATTCAGTTATGAGAGTTTTTCAGTAACATTTGCTGTGGTCCCTAATCTAACGCTTATTTTCTCTTTCCATGTTTTACTACCATGCTACTTTCTCCAAGCGTTTTCTCTGGTGGATGTAATCGTAGCAAAAAATGACTTCATCATCTGCAAACCAACTTTAGATTGACGAACTGAGAGAAATGTTTCGACCTGTCAAAGAATTGATGGCTCTTGTACCTCACATGCAGCTTCATCATTCACAGTGGATATGTGCTGAGATGTTCCTACATCTCCAGCTCCGTGCCTCCGGGATGCTGCACTGGTTAAGCAGGTGAAGTGAAATGATGGATGGATTTCTTATAGTTTGACTCCAGTCAAGGTGCGGCATGTTTTTGTTTTAAATGTAAATGGTTTTGAGCTTCCTGTCCCGACATCTTCCTCCGTCGACCTGGATGTTTCCTTTGAGGTTGCCACATTTTCAGCTTGGATTCATGCGCAGCCATCATTGCTACACTTCATATTTTCTACTTGATTCAACCCCAAGCACTAAAATGTCTCATATCGCTTCATTTAACTTAGCAGTTTGAGCGCAGTGAGATACTCGATATATTAGGATTAACAATCGGTATTGGCTGATGCGAAAGCTTTTGAAATTTCATATATATATATATAGATATCCAGTTAGCTTGAGTGTTAGCACCATGGCTCCTCAACGAACTGGTAAAACGTCCAACATTCAGAATCTTTTCCATTTCTTCCACTGACTGACTCAGACGAAGGCTGAGCTGCAGACTCAGTTGAATAATTGCGCGGGTATTTGTTTAGAAATGCAAATGATCTCGTGTCTCCTCAGCCTCAGGAAGCCAGAATGTTCATCTCTGAAAAACATTTTGATTTTTTCTCCTTGTTTCAAAGTAAAGGACTGAGTGAACTCGCTCCAGTATTTTTTCTTCCTCTCGGTTTGAATTCATGACATTTTCTGATGGCTGTCTAAGAATCACATGAACTGGGACCAGATTTCCTAATGTTTTCTTGAGCATAAGTGTGTGAGGATTGAGTTTCATACTTTGTGTAGCGAGAAATAGAAGGAAAGTAATTATCTCTCTCACATGTATGTTGTTCTAAGTTACGTTTTATATTAAATTAGAAGTCCAGCCATCCAATTTGTTTTAACATTTAATCGTGTCTCTGCTTGGTCTCTAAAGTTCACGGTTTGAGTTACGCTGCTGTGTTCAAAGGTTTCCACACAGAGACACCGCTACATTTACCCCTACCTCCCACTCCCACTTTCAAAATATTACCTTTTCTGTCACTGCCAAGACACACTATCAGCCACAGGCGATTACTGATAGAGCGTAGATGGGATGCACCGTTACAGCGAGCAGCTGGTTGAATTAAAAACAGTTAATATCAAGCAGAAACGTCGGCCTGATATCATCAGGTGAGACGGAAATTTGTACTCAAAATCTCCACATAGAAATAAGAAGGAAAGACAAAGTTTGGTTTAAGCAGAAATCTGTTTTCAGTTCATGAAATATGTTTTATTTTTCGTAGAAATCATTAAAAGTGGCATAACAATGTCTTACATTTCATCTTAAAGGGGCACATGGCACCATTTTATTGCAAATGACCTGCAGTTGTTATAAAATGCTGTGTATATCAAATATGACTTAAAAGAAATTTGATGTCTAATTTCATGCCTTGAAACTGAACCTGTCTCTTTAAGAAGCTCCTCCTCCTTTTGAAACTCCGCCTTCAGGAAGTCATGACTCCTCTATTAACTCTTTAGCGTTGGACTGAGCAGTAGCTCCTAATGAGCTCAACAGTTCCACCAGGTTTTTGCTAATTATCGCTGGCTAGTTTGAAGGACCTGACTGGAGGCAGAGCTGCGTCTCGAAGCCGGCGCTAGGTTCACCAAGGCGTTTAGCACGACTGAATGGAAATGAAAGGATTTCTCAAACATGCGTGAAAGAATCAAAGCATCAGGTCTATTTTTGTTGAGGAAATAACTTTATGACATGATATAAAGCTAAAAAAGTAAAGTTAATCTTCAGTCAGAGGCATTTTCCCATTGGTCACGAGACTGACCAATGGGAAGATGCCTCTGACTGAAGATTAACAAAGAAAACTAGAGGCTTATGTTATCAAAATCTGATTTGAAAGAAATATACAAAAACAAGAATATGAGAGAGAATTTCTATGAAAAGACTTATGCACAACATTTGGAAGACATTAACATTAAAATTGTACAACTTGAAATTACAAAACTAGATTTGCTAAATGGAAATATGCCAATTCTGAAAAACCTCACAATTTTTGTTAAAAGGTTTTGCTGCGAGGATGAGTTTTTTTGTTTTTTTTGGCTGGATCAGAAATTGGTTTATTTAACAAAACTGTAGCAGAAACAGAAACACTGTTTTCACATCACAGGATTCACATGAACAAAACCACAAAGAAGACGACAGGAAGTAGATGTAGGATGATGGGGGCACAGTTTGTTTTTTTACAACTTATTGTATGAAAAACCTGTTGACGGGATTTTAATTGTGCTTCTTGTTTAATAGAAACATCGCAATTGCAAAATGTATTCGACGTTAGTGCAATATTACCAAAGTTTTGTGCATTTCTATAGGAAACACGATGGATAGATGATCAGCTCTAGCGCCGTGACTGAATTATGAATATATCTAATAACTGTTTACATCCGTCATGATTTTTTATGACTTATCGCATGAACAATTAATTTCATTTCTTATTTAATGGAGACACAAAAATAGCAAAATTGTGCTTTTTAGACAAAGTTTTTTACAAATTTAATGGAAACGCAGCTAATGAGAGTTTAGAAGGAGACAGAGAGAGTGAAGCAGAGGACAGTGTGTGTGTGTGTGTGTGTGTGTGTGTGTGTGTGTGTGTGGTGTGTGTGTGTGTGTGTGTGTGTGTGTGTGTGTGTGTGTGTGGTGTGTGTGTGAAGGGGTGGTTCACCATGTGAGCAGTAATCACAGGGAGCCAGCAGGGGGGACAGTGGAGGTTGGTGGGGTCAGAGCAGAGCACCACTAAGCAGCCCTTCTCTTCATTAGGGGCCTCTCTAAGGACAGGCCTACCTGTCCACCAGATTATTGAACCGACTAACCAGTGGCTCACACACACACACACACACACACACACACACACACACACACACACACACACACACACACACACACACACACACACACCTCTGATTCTCCCAGACCCAGAGGAATCACGACCCAGCCGCAGCCTCGCTGACAACTTCAACTTTTTCTTTAACCTGACTCCGTCGCCGCTGCCGCTGACCTTAACCACTCTCTACTTTTCGACCTTTGTCACCTTCAGAAGATGAAAAATTTTATTTCCTGAACTCACAAATACTCACACGTCAACAGGACAAAAACGACTGAGACCGCATTTCACCTTGCGACTCAAGAAACTGCAGCATGAGGAAAAAAGGTCGAGGCTCTGAGATAGAAGGCGATGTTTCAAACATCCCGCTGACAGACGGGCTGCAGAGCGTTTGAAGCAGCGACATTCATCCACATTTTGTGTAACAGTTTCTTTACTTTCCCTCCCTCTGTCTGCTCATCTCACGAATTGTTCTATCCAATCTCAGAAGAGTCCCCAACTGATTTAAGACACTTACATCCTTCTCTGCAAAAGAACACAGCTGAGACGGGTTTTGGATTTTGCGTTCATAAATGAACTCAGATCTCATGCAAACGAATTTGTTTGTTACTCAGACTGAATCACAAAGAAAGCAGAATATTGAAGACTCAGAGAAGGAAGCCAGCAAAGCGGCTTCAGGCCTGGCACAAATGAAATGCCATCCAACAAACATGGCACATATGCACCAGCTTTATGCTGGCTCATAGCACAATGACACTCAGACAAAATCCTCTAACAGTTTTCCAAGCTGTTCATCAGAGCTATTTTATTTTAAAATCTCTAAAAGTCATGAAAAGTTTCTTTCAATTGAGAAAAAGGGCCTTCATGGTTCAATAGGGCTTCTGTTGTCAGATCTGGTTGTTTCAAAGAAAAACAAAGAAAGAACATCAGAAGACTTTCACTTAGATTCAGTCATCAGAGGAAGATGAGAAATCTTTCTTTTTCTGGTGAGTTTATGTCTGATCTTTGTAACTTTCGTCCAAATAAAGTTAAAACTCACTCATTTTATTCAGCAGCAGAGTTTAGTCTGAGTAAATGAGGAGCATAAATAAATCATATTTACCATTTCTGCATGTTGTATCTGCAGACCTCGGGGCTCCTGGGACGTTTGGAGACTCGTCGTCCTGAAAAAAGTCAGATTTCGCCCTCAAGTGGGGGAACTTTCTCCCTCTTCCAGTCGCTTCTGAAATCAGGAGCCGCGCTTCGGTTCTTCTTTCACCAACTCTGCGTCGATGTTTCTGACGAGGTTTATTCACCTCAAGCACACAGTCGCTCTTTGGGGGCGTTTTGTTTTTGGTTTTGAACCCAGCAGGATCGCAGGAGTCGCGGCTGCTTTGCGCGTCGGTTGGATACGCGTCGGTGTCCCGGAGCGGAGCGCTGCGCCTCGCGTCGGTTCAAACCCGCAAAGTGAAGAAATCAAGCAGGAATCACAGACAAACAGGAGCTGGGCTGTTGCTGCTTGTCCTACCTTGATGAAAAACGGGGAAGAGGGAAGAGAGAGGGGGGAAAACGCCTTCTTTACACTTCCCTGGTGATTTCCTCGTGCAGAGTCAGCAGCGCGGTGCGCGGCGCGGAGCTGCGGACGGTCCGGGGCTGCAGGGGGAACCCGGGTCACTTCAGACCCTGAGTGACTGAGCACGCTGCTCCAGCTGAGCTGATTTACGACGCGGTGTCAGGACCGAGGTTCCCGTCTTGTCGCAGCAGATCCGCGGGGAAAAGCCGTAGCCCCGAGATAAGAAAAGCTTTGCAACGTTTGAAAAGTTTTCAGGGCAGCTTTCTGCTGCGCCATTCAGACCACACACGTTTAATGTCGCCTGACACGAAACACGCTCAGTAAACTACTTATTAATGAAGTAAGAAAAATACCCCAACATTGCTTTACTTATCAACTTATTGACTTTAGGTGGAAAAAATAAGCGTGCATCATATTTTCATAACAATATTTTAATAACGAAACGGTTTTACGTGACTTTTTTGGACATTTAAAGTTAAAGTCCACGTTCAGACTTGTATTTATGTACCTTTAAAGAAAATTAAAAACCTAATATTTACTTTAATAGCCTGGCTTTGTTTTCTGTGTGCATGCAACAAAAACAAAAAACAAAATGGAAGTAAACAAACTTTATCATCCTTTTTCTACTGAACTAATGGCCTACATCACGTCCTCCTGAGTATTTCATCAAGTTTTTTATTAAACTTTTCTCCACCATTTTGCGCTCAGTTTGATATTTTGGCCTCCAAATTTGCACAGGTGCCTTTCAGTAAATCAGAGTCTCACTGAAAAGGTCATTTGTTTCAGTAATTCAGTTTACAAAGTGAAACTCACATGTTGCACAAAGAGCCATTTATTTCTATCAATCTTTACAGTTACAGCTTCTGGAAGAATATTTCATGAGTCCAATAAAAGGCTCATGGTTACTGTACACGTGTCAAACTGGAGGCTCAGGGGCCAAATCCGGCCTCCAATAGCCTTTTGTGTGGCCCTCTGGACACCAGAGACGCATAAATAGACCCTTGAAGAAAACAACTGAAATATTATTTTATCAATCAAATGAAAACAGTATTCTGTCTGTATTCTGCCAAATTATATTAATGTGAAAAAATGTTTTAATATTCTTTAAAAAGATCTCATCTTGCACAGATAGATTGATTCATATTTTAAGTTTAATGGGTAGTTTTTTCAATATATTTGCCATAACTGGCCTTTGACTCATTCAGGAGCTGGAAAAGTGATTTTGACCCCCCAGCTGTACATTGGTTGCAATTTTGTTAAGTTTTTAGTGCAAATATCTACGTAATAAGTCAAGATATAGGAACTTGTTTAAAGTAAATAATTCATTACTATTGGTCAAATTTACTCATTTAACTGGTAGATTATTTCACTTGTAATAAGTTAAATAATCTGAATGTGGCTCTAGTTCTTTTTTAATTGTTATTGACTTAAAACAACCATTACAGTCAGGGCTCCTTCTGCATGAATGAAATCTCCGTGAAGCTTTTCAGCAGAGGGAAACTTCAGCTGCTCTGACTTGGGAGTCAAACCCATTGGACCAGAACCAGCAGAGCATCATAAGCTACATTTCCATTGACCCTGAAACTGTGCAAACTGGAATCATTAAACTTAATTTGCTTGATAGAAATACGGCAAAGAAAAGAAATAATGATTTTAATAAACACTTTTTGCATCAGGATGAGGTAATTTTCTTGGCTGTATTGAAATAGATGTATTTGGCAAAATTGCAATAAAAACATGTTTTTTACATCACCTGAGTCACATGATCAACAACCTGATGTCACTACTGGCAGAAATGACAAAGAGGACGACAGGAAGTGGAAGGAGGAACTTTAGTGGCGTATCACATGAATAGACTTTCTCACATATGATTGTAATTAAATTTCTTATTTAATTCTTATTTAATTAAAATAACACAACTGTGAAATTGAAATATTAGCACAGCTTTGCACGCATTTGTAACGTAAACACAGCGACTGACTGTGAAGCGTCACTCTGGAATTACAGCAACATGGATTCTGTGCTTCTTGTTTCTTTCCCCGGACTTTGATTTCAAGAAGAAAAGCAGAAGCTTGCAGCCATCAGAAAACAGGACTTTGGACCACTGAGCAGCACATTCTGAAACAATCTCAACTCAGCACAGAGGAAGTTGTTGGGAATTTACTGGAGGTGAGTATTTATTGAGAGAACTTGCACTGTGATGCAACGACATGCAAGAACCTGAGAGCATCAGAATGAGAACAAAACATCCAGGTAGCAGTAAACAGATGCAGGGCAGTAAAAACTAGAAACAGAAGAAACGGACCAGGACGCCGTGAAACGGAGCGACTTTTAACTGAGTTAGTCCCGTCAGAACCCACTGAGACGTAGCAGGAGAAAGAAGCAAAGCTGCAAAAGACTAAAACCAAAGGAAGAATCTAACCCAGGAGGAAAAGTGTTCTTATGTTCCAAAAATGTTTGTTTGGACTTTTAGTTTAATTTATGTTTTGATCATTCCTTTATTTTTTCTTTCTCTATATCCCACCATTTTTGGTCTATCTCATTTTCTCATTTATTAGTCTCATTGTTTGTGTTTTGGATTTCTTTCTTCAGATTACCATTACTGTTTGTATTATAGATTCAGTTTGTTGACTCTTTAATTCTCTTTGCTTTGTTTATTTTGCTCTTCACCTTGTGAGGGAGAATTAGGGCCAGGCTTAGTAAAAAATTTAATTTACGAGAATAAAGTCATTCTACAAATGTGAACTCCATATTTATCAGGCCAAACCATACAGTGCAATACCATATCACTGGTCAATCTATCGACCAAATTGCTATAATTTCCTTTTGTGTTGTATTTATATTCTTTGTTTTGTATTTAATTTGTATTTTTTTTGTATTTTGTGTATGCTTACTGTGTGCCACATTTTTGCCTGTGAGCTGCTGGTAACTATAATTTCCTGAGGGAGTCTTCCCAAGGGATCAATAAAGTCAAGTCTAAGTCTAAGTCTAAGTCTATATGACAATGAAGTTGAAAAAATACAAGAATAAATTCAGAATGTGAGAATAAAGCTGTAACGATACACAAAATGTTGTAATAGACCATAATATTAATAAAGTAGTAATAATAAGTCATAATATTACCAGAAATAGCTATATATCTGGTTTACATATATTTCTGATCTCATTAAAATATCTTTTTTCCAATAATTTTATGACTTTCTTCTGATAATATTGCATTTTTATTCTACTAATAATATGACTTTATTGTCATACTTAAATAGGAAATATACAATGATTGATTTTCTGGCTGTGAAGCTCCATTGAGGCCTACCCGTGACTCTTCCCAGCTGTTAATCATTTCCTTATTTGCCCTTTCCTGTTTCCTTTTCCAGCTGCATCCACTCACCTGCAATCAGCTCCTTCTATTCCTTCCTCAGTATTTAAGCTCTGCAGATCGCCTTCGTCCTCGCTGGCTCCTCCGTTTCTGTTTCTGTTGTTTGTTAGCTTCTCATTCCTCGCTCAAGTCCGAGTCTTCAAGCAGTCTTTGTAAGTTTTCTTTGTTTATTTTTTCTTAAAAATGTTGCTTCGCTGCATAACTCTCTGGACTTGGGTCATTCTTTACTCCGACTGTGACACAGAGTTTCTCCACGAAGGAATGAGCGTGGAAACCAAAAATTAACTTGAACCAAAATGATCCAAATACAAAACCAACATGATAAACAAAACATGAAAACCTCATAGATCACAGCAGTCAAACAGACACTGAAGCCAGACGTGCAGTCACCCGGACGGCCTCTTCATCAAACATCTCATAGCCGAAATCATCATGAGATTCACTGCTGTCAGACAAAACACCGAAAATTATGCTACCGTCATATGTTTGGAAAAAACTTAATGCAAAACATTTTCTAAAATAAGGAAGTCACTCTCTTCAGACTGATTTCAGGAAATTGTCAATTTTCTGATCAACTTTTGATCAATATTTAACATTGATATTCCTAAAATTTAAGAAGTTAGGTATGCTTTCCTCCTGTTTGAAACAATCATATGCAGTCCTAACCGTTTCTGCCGCATAGACCAATCAAAATGCTCGAAAGAATGCTTCATGACAACCAGTGATCATTTCTTATGTTACCGGGAAAAAATGGTTGTGTGGATTGTCAACAAATCAAAGTTTTGTGTTTTCAATCTTTTATTTTTAAATGTAGTATATTTGTTAGGTTAGAGGGCCATTTATTTTACTTTTATCGCCGCGAGACGTTAAAAAACCATCGTTAACGTCCGATTTTCTGGCTGTTTCTCACATCTGAAGAACATTTCTATGTTTAAAGGACGAATGTCCAGCACGATCTAGAGGAACTCATCCACATGTTTATCTGATTACTGCAACAGTGTCTTTACAGGAACCAGGCTCCACAAATCCAGAACAAACTTCCAGAAAACTGCAAAACAGCTGAAACACTGAGTTCCTTTAAATTAAGGCTAAAAATCCACCTGTAGAGTTGATTTTGAAACATAATAACTGGAACATTGATGAACAGATTTAACGTGTATTTATTGCTTGTTTCATAATTGGTGACTATGATGTTTTATAGTGTAAAATGCCTTTGAACTGCCTGGTTGCTGAAATGTGCTGCACATATCAGCTTCCAGCATAAAGATTCAGTTTATCTAGAATAAACTTCAGGAAAAGTGAAAAACAGCCGAAACAAATTGAATCAAAGCTAAGTTTATTTTTATTTGTAATAACCAGAATATTGATAAATATATTGGATATTTACTGATGATGGCATTTAACTGTTTATTGCTTGTTTCATGATGTTTCTATGATCATACCGTTAATATGTACAGCACTGTGAAATGTGCTGAACATATCAACTTGACTTGATTTAAGGTGTTTCTGAGAGTAAAATGAAGTCCAATATGGCTCTGGCAGCTGGAGCCTAATAAAGCAACCAATGAATTGTGACTTTTAGACAGAGGTGAGACTCTTTGCCTGCCTCAGATTACCTGAATCTGCTCCGTATTTGCATTTATTTCAGCACCGTCTGTGTGTTTCCTGCTGTCACAGAATCCACATTTATGCAGCGTGGAAGCTGCTGGAAAGCGTT